CATAAATAGTTCATAGTGTAACCAAAAAATCTAAAAAATATATGAACACAGTTATTTTTTACAGACATTTTAAATTCAAATTTGGACGAAATTACATAATAAGAAACCTAGAATAACTATTTTAGTTATTTTGTTGTGATTGTATAATATTATTCGTGGGTACTTGAAATTTATAAAGTATACTATTATATATCCTATGATAGTTTCACGGTTTGTTGTTGAAGTATAACGCGTTATAAGTACCTAATGGATATTGTGATATGATTAATTTGGAATTTATTATAGGTACCTATTATAGGTCAATTTTTTTTAATACCATAGATCTGTATATAATATTATGTCTTAAACCTAGACTTACATACCGTCTCCGCACAGAATCGTTTTTCTTATACAATGATATAATATCATTGAATTCAAATGTAATACCATCCATTATACAGTGACCCACTTGTAACCTACTGTACAGCAGAGCGACACCCACTTGCCCACCTTTTTTTATTTTTAACACTATCATATGTATACTACAATAATTTTAAATTTAGAAAAAAATTGGCATATTTATTTTAATGAGTACAGAATACGATTTCCTGATAAAACATCATCGTGTCACGCACGATATTATGTATGATACAGTTATTGTATATTATTTTTGGTTAGTATATCATACGTGACGAGAACAGACAATATTATACTCTAAAATATCCAATTTTTTTATTAATTAAAAAATTTATAACTTGCTTTGTTGGCTTAGTACAATACGCAAATTTGATATCAACAAATATACAATTATACAAGATTACAAGAGTAAAAATAGGACATATAGGACTGAATTAATTGATTTTAATAATTTAAGTCATCTTCACATCAGCGTCTTTGGAACAATGAGGTGGGTTATCGAGAGAAAGCATGTCCAAATAAACTACTCGAAAAAAGAGCATAAAAAAATAAAAAATTCTGAAAATATTCTTTAGAAAAAATAATTTTTCCCGTGCAAGGAACACTTGACCTAAAAGGTAATGTATTCCTTGTTTACTCGTAGTTTGTTACATAAAATACATGTTTACTTTATACTTGAAATATAAATTTAAAAAAGTTCACACAAATTTCCAATTATTATTCCTTATGTTTGGAAGGATTTTGTTATACATCATATCAAAGATATAAGTCAATTGTATTAATATTCTAATGTTTACATAACAATATATGTGTACATAAAAAATTGTTAAAGTAAAAAAAAAATATATTATTAAATGTTGCATAAACGTATAGCTATTTTTAGTTAAGACATTTTACATTTTGGTAATAATTTCTATAACAGTGGTTCTTTTCATAAATGTCTCAAAGACCATAATATAGTTCCTATTTATAATTTAATCTACATATTATAATGTCGAATTGACTGCATAGGCAAAAATAGAGTTGTGATTGGATTGGAACTTAGCCCCTAAAGCCCCTCCCCCCTATTTTTTCCTACGATTAACTGTCTAAAAATTTTTTAAATGTATTAAAAATCTATTATCATAAATTTAAGAGCTATAGCGAATATTATCAATCACTATAATTAACAAAAAATAAAATAAAAATGTTCATTCATCGTTTTTTTAATACACAACAATAACATCTTACAACGTTTCATTTGACTAGATACCTATAGGAATCATACAAGAGTGTAACATATTTTAAAAATTATTTTATTGAACATGTGAGTTTATTATCTTAATTTCTGTTTGATAAAATAGCAGCCATAACGGTGAATTAAATTTTTATAAGCCGCGATAACTAATATTAATATCTCATATTCTATGCTTATAAAAACTAGATATAATTCGGAATAAAGGTTATAGATAAATATGAGAAGTGACTTATGACTTTATAATTTTAAATTTCGAAATAAGTTGTATGTACCTATAACAATGGGAAATGAGAATAATAATTAAAAACTATTTTAAATCTTCGATTATAGAGAGAGAGAAATAAAAAGAGAAGGAAATAGTGATGGAAAATCAGAATTACTTCATTGGGATGCTTTGTTGTCAATATTTATTTTGCAGTCCTCGAGGTATAATTTACCAAAAGTATTAGTAGATGCTTAACTAAGGTGAATGGTTGCATCAAAATACTATTCTTTTATGTCTGCTATATAACCCAAGATCCAAGGTAAATATCATATCAGAAATTTAAAACTCAATAAAAACAATTCAATAAGCTATTTTTTTTTCTGAAATGAGTCGTCTCGACCAATCACAACTAATATCATAAACAGATCGGCTGCTAGTTGATTAAATTGTTTAAATTACTATTATATTTATCTTAAGGAATAACACTAGATTTTTCAGACCACTTTATGTAAATTAAATATTCTTTCCATTAGTGTAGAAAATTAAGTTGTCATTTTTAACATTTTAGTAGTCAACAGTTGAAACTATAATGAGAAGTAAATTATATTGTTATTTTTTATTTTGTTTAAGAATGTATCTTATAAATTATAATACACTAGTAATGTAATTTTTTAATAAAATTAATTTATCATCATTAAACGAATAACACTATGACAAGGCGTTAAATAATGTCTAAATCAAAAGTGATAACATGTTATCCAAGTATGTATAGTTTAATATCTATGCGATTTATTTAAGTAAATTCACAAAGTCAAAATAGTTGAATAAATTTAAATATCCCGTGGAAATTTGTGCGTAATTAGATTAGTAACACGAAACCAATGACTATTGTTGTCAGGCGCCTTGCGTTAAAGTCAAATGAATACGCTTTGGAATATTATACTATTTTCAAAAATACCTAGCCTTCACATTCGTCAATTAATGAGGGAATTATGTTATACAAATTCGAACATCATTATTAATTATTATAACTCCATAATTTAACCTATATAGTTGTTATATTAAAGAATATAATGATAAATGAAATAAAAAATGAATTTCAATAACTTTAAAATCAAATTAATTGTGTACTAGTTTTTTGACAAACATACCAATTGATCTAATAAAGCTATAAGAATTCTAAAAACAGATTTGAATTTGTTGTCAAGTCTACTTGAAATTGATTTTCCCACATTTTTGATTTTTTGATTTTAACTTCCTCAAAAATTAAAATACGAACATTTTTAAATACTCTTTTTTAATATGACATTTTTAGGTATTTGGGAGATAATATCAAACATGTGGGAAAATGGATTTCAAGTAGACTTGAAGAAAAATTAAAATCTGTTTTCAGAATTCTTATTGCTTCAATAGATCAATTGGAATGTTTGGCAAAAATAAGTCTAAATTACTATGTCGCTCGTGTGTTAGATAAAAACGGAAAATCGTGGTATTGAATCCCCTTAAGAATATTAAGTATAAACTAAATTGTATAAATTTGTTAAATTTAATTTAAATTATTGCTTTCAGTACCTAATAAATAAATAAATAATATATTATTGTAATTAATGAATTGTATTAGTTCCTTAATGTTAAAGAGATAAAAGTCTTTATTCATTATTATAATCATAATATTTAGTTCAGTTTTACTATCATGTAAACATAATACAAAAACTTAAACAGTTTTATTTTAAATTATGGCATACTCTGACATCATATTATTTGTTCATCGATAATAAATCTAATAATAATAATAATAAATAAGTGAGTTAACGTATTAACTCACAAAAATTCAGCCAACGCATGTATAATCTCTCTATACCTGCTAGTAAATGTATTGTAGGTATTCATTGAAGCGAACTAATACACTGAGAAGAAAGCAAAAGAATTTTGATAGACTGCCAACATACAACGTATGGATAAAATTTACAATTGTCCCGATCATCCATAATATTTTCTAACATTAACAAACTGTTTTAAACATTATATGGAACACTCATAATAAAACCAAAAAAAAAATAGAGTAGATAATAAAATGAAAAAATAAAATAATATAATAATTATAATAATAATTTACTGTTTTCAGGATATTATTACTAAGATAAATACAAATTGGGTCAGAGTAAATTTCAAAAATTCTTATAAATTATAATTTAATTTAATTATACTGAAAACTTCCAGTTTCATATTTCAAGTTCCAATGAATTTAAACCGAAATCTAGGACAATTAGATTACTGTACAATATTATAGGCACCTACTTAATACAGCTAGTTATCACTTATCCTCCACTCAACTGTTTCTCAGTGTTACTATACGCTACAAATTTTAATTTGTTTTAAACAGAGATTAAGCTATAAGCGTAACTTACTACAACACCTCAAAAATATTATATATTCAAAACACCAAAAAAAAAACATTTACTTAACGAGTAACAGGAAAATTATTTTATTTAATAATAAAATAAATGAACCAGTACTATTGACAGAGATTTCTAAAATAAAAATGTAAATTTTGAATAAATTTGATATTTTGAAAAGTTGTTACTAATATTTAGCTTATATTTTAATCATGATGTGTAAACAGTGGTAATCGAATTGCAATGGAAATTATTCATAACATTTATTTTTATATTAAAGTATACGCTGGACGTGAACCATGGAATTTATTTAAAATTATTTGCATTTTTGTAAAACAAATAACGCGTATACCTATAGTAAACGTTGTTGTTCATAAATTGAATTACATTTCATGTATACTATACGACTATTAACTTTATTCGATCGATATATTATTCTTAAATACAAATGTTATAACTATTAACAAACAATTTACTGATATTTACAAAACCATATAATATTCTACCAATAACCTTATAGACCAGCGGTTCCCAATTAGTGTGAAGCCACGGACCCCTAGCTATAACTTAAATTGGTCTGCGGACTCCTTTTTTGTAAATACTTACTTTTCAATTTTATTTAATTATGAAAATGAAAAATAAATTTGTAAGATTTATTTTTAATATGATTTAATTTTTAATTTTATAAACATATTCGTCATATAATAGAAACAAATTTTCTCAAAAAAAAATATATTTATAAAAAAAATTATTCGATTAAACACCTTCAAACTTTATGAGACAAGTTAATTCTTTCTGTTCTGTTCATAATTTCGTCTAAGTCCGGCTGCATGCTTGATATTATAACTCTTAAATCAGCGTCAATATTAAGTCTATTACGATATTTGTGTTTCATGTAACAGTAGGTAGAAAAAGCTTGTTCACATCTATATGTTGTGCAAAAGGGAATCAAATGTCTTAAAGCTTTCTCAGCCAGTTTATTTTGATCATTTTGAACAATTAACCAAAAATCAATTAGTTTTTTATCGTTGAAAATATTTTTCATCGTTCCATTAGTTACCAAATCAATTAATTAATCTTGTTCCTGTTCAGAGAGATTTTCTATTTTTTCAATATCTATATTTAATTCTATAATATAGACTGTAGATCGTTTCAATACAATACCTCAAGTATTCAAATTATCACAAACCAAGCGTGATAAACTAAGAATAACTTTAACGCGATCCATCTAATTTGTACAATAACATATAATAAGTGTTATTGTTCCGTAAAGTCTCTATATTATTTATATTTAAAATACATAGGTACATGTTTATTAAATTAATTTTAGAACAAAATCTAAAAAGGTGCTCTGCTATACAGTAGGTTACAAGTGGGTCACTTAATGGCAGTAAATTAGAATTCAATGATATAAATATATAATATCATTGTATAAGAAAAACGATTCTGAGCGGAGACTGTATGTCAGTCTAGGTATAAGACATATTATATACTTATCTATGGTATTAAAAAAAATTGACCTATAATAGGTGCCTATAATAAATTCCAAATTAATCATATTACAATATCCATGAGACACTTATAACCCGTTATTAATCAACAACAAACCGTGATACTATCATAGATATATGTATAATAGTATACTTTATAAATTTCAAGTACCCACGAATAATATTATACAATCACAACAAAATAACTAAAATAGTTATTCTAGGTTTCTTATTATGTAATTTCGTCCAAATTTGAATTTAAAATATCTGTAAAAAATAACTGTGTTCATATATTTTTTAGATTCTTTGGTTACAGTATGAACTATTTATGAGAACCTTTGTTTTAAATTTGTAATCCTTAGCTATAAAAACTGAACATTTTATAATTTATTAATTACAATGATTGATAATTTTCGAGATTTTGATAAATTTTGTCAAAATTCGATCTTTAAATGCTTTAAAAAAAAAATTGTGCCTATGTATTTTTAATATTTTTCAATTTTTAACAAATATATATATTTATATTCCCAACAAATAAAACTTTATTGATATTTATGATTTCATAATTTTTGAACTTTAAATGCTTATAAAAAAAACTGTGACTAAGGATTTTTATTATATTTCACCTGCCTTTGAAACAATACACTAGGAGCCTTCTATTAAATGTTCAAGCTTTTTTTAACCAACAAATAAAATTGTATTGATATTTTTAGAAAAAAAACAATGGAAATTGAAAATGTTCCTAAATAGTTCAAAATAAGTCAAAATATTTGGAAAATGCTATGGTCTATAGAAAATGCTAATATCAACATTCAGTCAAAATTCTATGTACCTAAGGTCATTTGTTTTAGAGTTACACTAATAACCAAAATCAATTTTCTCGAAAACAGATTTTGCGTAAAAATTCCCGTTTTTCCTTAATTTTTCTTTTGTTTTTCACGGCGCTTTTGAAATCTACTGAACAATTTTTACTTTTGACCCTCCAAAGTACAAACTAGATACAATTTTCTGTCAAAAAATATACTGTTGAAGAAAATCCAAGCACTTTTACTGTCCTAAAAGGTGATGACAGACACAAAAATTAAAAATTAAAAAAAAAACACACATAATTTTAAAATTAATACATTGATCGTTCTACTCAGAATCTAAAATTATATATTCAAACTATCATAATTTACGTATAGGTCAAAAATTACTTACGATCTACCTACTAACAAAATATAAAATATTATCGGGGATACGATAAAATTTTTCCTACGTAATTGTATATTGTTTGAATAAATTACCGACATTATATTATACCGTAACAAATGGCAGTGATGTACAAACTAACTATTATAGATTTAAAAAATATTTAATTAAACATGGTATTTTTTATACATAATTTAATAATAAAATGGAGATACATGCCCGTCTCAGACAGGATCACAATTTGATATAACAAAAAAAGGGGGAGGGAAGGTAATCGCTCTTCTGTATAGTAGGTGTCGAGTTTACCTCGCCATTAAGGAAGTCACTGGAATGTATGACTTAAATTTGAATTCAATAAGAAATAATTACATATTATTATTATTATGAAAAACGATTCTGAGTGAAGAAGGTACGTCGCCTATATTACTAAATACTATAAGTATATATTTCATAATATATATTTTATATTACTGCTATAATAATTTTTTTCACTGTAAATAATTCGGTAGGTTGAATTGATGGTTACTAAAAACATTGAATTTGTTATATTATAATAATATAATATAATATTATTGTTAGTAACTTTTGAATCAATACCGACTTACCAGTAGAACGGTGTGATTGGGTTCACGATATGAGTAAGCAATAGCATACAATTATTTTAAATGTTTGAAAAAGTAATTTTGTGTATAAAATATAAAAATATAGGTAGGTACGTTATGGTTTCAAATCCCCGGGAAAAATATTTTTGGATTCCAACAAAACATCAAATAACTAAAATTTTTACGGTTCATATAAATATATTATTTCGTTAAAATTTTAACTTAAAATTAATAGAAAAAAATTTATTTTTTTTTATTTTTTTTTAGATTTTTTGGTTGCAGTATGAACTACTTATGATTAACATTTTTTTACAAATCTAAGTATTTGAACTCTAATTGCTTAAATGCTTTTTTTTCTTTTTTTACATTTTAAAGAAAAATAGGTACTGCGTTTGACTTTTGACCCTTCCCCCTTCCCCAAGTATCAACTAGATTCACTTTCCTACCAGGAAATATGTTGAAGTTTAAAATCAAAGCATTGTGTCTAGTGTTTCTTCTATAAAAAAAAGTCTTCAGAGTAGTCCAGACACAAAAAACAAAACACATGAGATTTTAAAATCAATACATTCATCGCTCCGAATCTAAAAAGATTATTAAGAACATTATTACTATTTAAAAATTAAAATCTATCTAAATCAATATCCGTTGTTTGCTATGTTAAAATATAATTAAGTTATTTGTAATTAATACAAAGAGCTGATATTACTTAAAATGTATATGACGTGTGTTCTGTATTAAAATAAGTTTAATCCAAAAAGCAAAAAATGTAAAAAAAATAAAGATCTTGAATTATTTTCTAACCATTCTATACAACTATTATAATATAATATCAGGTTTCATTGTATTACAAAAATAGATAATCTTTGTTACGTAATACGCAATGCACAAAACATATCGACTTGAGACTCAGCTTTCGTCTTAAACATTTTTTTTAATACGTCCAATGTTCGTTGATATTAAAAAAAGTGCAACAATGAGATAATTTTTTTCCCAGACATGGTAAAAATTATGGTGTGTCATTTTTTATTGATTCCATTATTTTTGTCACTATATTTTTCGGAAAAAAATGTTTTATCTCATTGACTTATTGTAATGAGTTTTTAAAAATAAAAATATCCCTCCGAACCAAAACCTTTTATACTCACATACAATATGTGGAATGATCGTGACAAACTGTTACCATTTAGATAAAAAAAAATATTATTTGTATTGGTTTAAAATATAAAAATGAATGATAATTATCATAAATATCAAACACTAAATAAAATATTATATGTATAATACTATCGTTTAATTATTAAATGTGTTGAAATTTAAATGTTGGTTTATGTACTTTTTTATAAGTTATATAAAATAAATTATCATATATGTAGAACTCATGTCATTGTATGTTATACTTCGTATTAAAAATGTTTTAGACATTTTATAGTTTGAGAAGGTTTAAAACTTACAAATTACAATTTTTGAAATAATTGTTGAACATTTTTGTACAGAGTATCTGATTTTGTCATAGGTGATAGTTATAATAACCATAATACAAGGTACGCTATAGAGGACCTACCCATTGTATTGTATTTGTTATTGTTTCATAGAACACACAATTTTCTTAAGTTATAAGACATTTTTAAATTTTTTTTATGATGCGAAAGTTAAACTTGAAACTGATTCAAACCTACAGCGTCTGGGGACTTAACATTGTGATTTGTAATCTATTCATGTATATAGGACACAAATTAAATTAAATTTACTTAGTTTTAGTAGTTGTGGATTTGTGGGCTATCCGAGGTGTTGAGTATAAATCAGTATATCACCAATCAGATTTCTAATTTCAACTTAAAGGTGAACGACACATAACACGAAAATGGTTGGGGAAAGCACTAGTCTATGAGAACATATAATGTGATTTCGCGGATAAAGGATAGATGAGGGAAATTGACCGGAATAAGGGTTTTACGTTTCGATTCGATAGTCTATAAGACAATAATTCAATGTTGCCAAATGCGTTACGATTAATACACTTCGAACTTTTTGGAAAAAAAAAATGCTGATTTCGATTTTTCTCGTAAGGCCGCCTCGTGACAACTGGTCTACTTTCAAAATCACATTGGTTAAAAGTCAACACTATAATTATATGATTAATCTTTGTACCTACTCAGCTGAATTAATGTAGTTTTAAATAATCGAATATATACCTACCACGCATGGCAATCTTTGGTTTGATTAACTGACACTAAAAATACTCAACTTAAAATAAAAGTATCTATTAAATACTTATAATATTTATGAAATGTATAATATGTTTTAATTCTATACAATTGCTTTTAGTATCATTTAGATTAAATTATATTGCATTATATTACATCACTTTTTAAAATTGAATTAAGTTCTTATTTCGTTTAACGGAAAGTGGCAAAAAGTACTTTTTAGTTTTTATCTCCATTGTATGTCATAAACGTCTACTGTCATAAAGTATACATAGTATATTACTATATAGTAATATTATAACTATATATTATATATAATTAAAAAACTATTAAGAAATATTTTATTATTATTATTAAGCCATTAATTAATCCGCTAATTTTTTGTTTCTATTAATAGTTATTTGTTAATCGTATTCACATTAAATAGTAAAATAAAGCCTATATTTCAAAACCAATTACTCCCATTTAACTCACACAAATCTAAAAAAATATGTGAAACTAAATTGCTCAAATAATAAATTGTTGAACAGCAAAATATACAGTCATTAGGTGCTATAA